TGATTATTTCGCACGGACATCGGCGTCGGCAGATCGATTTGTCTCCCCTTCGTTCCCTAGTCTAGATTAGAATGAACTAAGGAAGGGAAGGGAAGACTAGCAGGATACGCAATAGGAACACAGTGGGGTAAGGTGCACTGCAACATCAAGATGCAGTCCACCGAAGATGAAGGTAGAAATATTCATCTACCCCCCCCCCCCCCCCCCCCGCCAATCTCTAGTATAATAATAGATGTACGCCAAGTTCCTGGATGTCATCGTCCCGGACCCGCAGCACAGGAACAGCCTCGAAACGTCCGCCCGTCCTCGTCGCGCGTTCCGCGGGGAAAAAACGACCTCATCTAGTACCATAACTTCGCTCAATCCGGACGGATCAGGACGATCCGAAAGTCGTTTTCGAGTTCATACGCGGACTCCTCGGGATAGGCGCAGTCTCGGAGCTCGGCTCGACGACGGCAAAATCCCGGGTTTTCAGTGTCGCCCCCTACCCTAAATAAGTGAACCGAAAGTATGGAATTTCGCATTTCGGTGGGGGCTAGGACCCTCGGCGTCGCAGAGTCATCTGGACTTGAAGAGACGATCCCACTCGGAGACGGAGACCTGTCTATCCTTGATCCGTTTACAGATCTCGCATGCGTTCACGACGTCAACTGGCCCTCCGGTGCTCAAGACGACGTCCAACGCTGGGTCTACGCTTTCAGATGCACGCAGATGCTGGACTACTATGATACGAAAACGCATCGCATAGCACCGCGCCGCGCATGACGTAGGAATTCAATCGCGGCCTCTAAAGCTGATCCCTCACTTCTCCTCTAAGTCGACCCTCATATGCTATACACCCAAATCCGTGTCTGCTGCAAGTCCCACCGCATGGCGGTTACCCCTCCTACTATATAGACACCACTTTGGTTCCAACACAGCAATTTCCCATATTATCAGTATATTTATTGTGTGTGTGTGCTCTTGGGCATGCGGCTTCTCCGACGCTAAATCCCCAATAATAATAATAATGTAGATTGTAAATCTTGTATCACTACTTAGTTATGGCCGCCCTTACTTTCCGCGCACGCAAAAGTGAGACTCGTAGGGCGCGACGTCGAAGCAATCCTCCAACCGGAGCTCGGGCCCTGCTGCAATGTCGTGCCGGATGAACCTCGGGTATTGCGTATGAGTGATTGAGCCATCGATGTCACAAAACCTCTGTAGCAAACCTGCTAGGCCCTGACACCCCCATTCGAAATCGACTGGTTTAGGCAACCGATTACCCCCATGAAGGAGTTCCAACTTCTTGTCTTTCCTGACAAAGCCTTCAGGAATGGAGCAATACATAGCAGCAAACTCGCTGCACTTAGGATCGTCAAAGACAGGATTTCTAGTCGTTAATCGATGATTCGTAACAGCGCGGTTCATCAACAGAGACCAGAACTTACCACGTTTGACAACTACGCCGTATGGACGGACGCCGCCGTCCTTTGTCTCATTCAAAACAAGGTTGTTGGTCTCGGTAGTGAGAAACCACACACTTCTCGACCGATTGTCGTCAATCTTCTCCTGAGCAGCGCCTCTATCTGAGGGAGTAGCATTGATCCATACAGCCATGGCACGGGCAAACAGCAAACGCTGTGCCTCGTCATTTGGATTAATGAATGAGCCATCCTCTCTGATACACCTGTTGTCAGCGTTGACCACCTTAAGAAGCTGGCCCCCACCACCAGATTTAACTCTGTTAGGCATGTAACGCCACTGACGTAAAGCTGCAGACGCAAATTCCCTGGTCCAGGTAGGCCGAGATACCGGCTCATAACCGTCAGGAAGAGGAGCTGGAGCAGGCTCGTAAGCCGAGTCGTTGCGCCCTTGGCGTCCTGTGGAGACGCCCTTCAAGTTGGAGGCCTCGGAAAACTGGCCGAAGACGAGGCCGACGCAGGTAGCTCTACTACAATAAGCGGGGCAAAATTAAACCGACTGGGCGCGAGTACGTCACGGCCGAGCGTCCACAACCCAGAGGGGGCCGACCACCAGGCATACACCAGCCCGGGCATACACCGGCATAGCAGCAGGCATAGCAGGCGCATAGTAGGCGCATAGCAGGCGCATACTACCAGGCATACCGGCGGTCAGCCCCCTCGGCCACAACCGAGCAAACGTAGTTTCAAGTTACGACCCGTGGGGCAGGACTGCACAGTCCCCCTGTACAATCCATTTCTCATGTGATTTTAATTCCGGAGTCCCCCTGCCTTATTCCCCCGTCACGGTTAGTTTCCGGAGTCCTCAGAGGAGAATGACCTCTGATAGGGGGTCGACGTGGATTTGGCGCGCGCCGTGGAGGGGATGGGTGTGGAAGTCGCGCGCATACGTGGTCGTGGAGGTAGGAGGGGCAAACTCCAAAGGAGCAAACTCAGCGATGGTCTTTTGCGGCCTTGGAGAGGGGGCGCGGCGCCCGATGTACTCGCCCTTGTACTCCGTGGCCATCCACACAGCCCCCCTTGGCGCGGGCGCGTTCTCCGCCTTCGGGGGGCGTTCGAGTGGTTTCAGCGCGTAGCCGACGAAGTCGTTCCTGAACGTCGTATGCTTGCGCCGTGCGCCGAAGGTGACGACGTCCAGGCCTCCGAACACGAACCTGGGCGGCGTTTTGGCGGGGTCGAGGCGCTTACGGACGTAGTCGCGGCCGTAGGTCGTTTGCCCAAGAAACGGCTCGTCTTCTTTTCGCCGCTCCGCCGGCTCGTACGGTTTGCGCTCCTTGTAATGGATGGTTTTTTTCCCGTAGTCGCGACTGTAGGTCGTCTGGTACTGCGCCGGGACCTCAAAGGCCGCGGGCGGCGCCCCGTGCGCCGAGGCGCCAGGGCCAGGTCTCACTTCGTGCTCGTGCTGCCATCGCGACTCAACGCGCGGCGACGCGCGTGGCTTCCGGGACTTTGGCACGAAGTCGCTCTTATAGGTCGTCTCGCCGTTGAATTCGGCCAGGAGTGCCTCGTTGGGCCGGAGCGCTTGGCCACCGGTCACGACGATCACGATCACGTCGTCGTCGACGATACATTTGTACTCCGACTCGTTCCGGATGAGCTCACGGCCATAGGAAGGGGCCTGTCGATGCGCCAGGGGATGGAGCCAGATTTCCAAGGCCGCGCCGTCGCTCAGCTTGTAGGCGCGGCGGACTCGCTGCTGGAAACTTGCCTACAAGGTTGTCGCGTGTTCCGCGTCTAGGTGCGAAACAAACTTGCCAGCGACGGGGGCATCGCTAGCGACCATCGTCGCGACGCGTCGCCCACATAGACCTTCTTGGGTGCCATTCCTCTAGTGTCGCGTTTTTTAACGGCCGTGCGCTTGTCGAGAGAAGAATCTGATACAATGCTAGATCTATTCAAGGACAAAAACAACCATAGGGCTAGCCGCGGCCATAGAAGTATTTATTTATTATTTCTGGCCGCCGGCCGTAGTATGTCATAGAGGTCCTCCGTCGACCGTGCGCGCGCGGGTCGACCGCCGAACCGAAATGTTGGCAAAATCGTTGAATTATTGCCCCCGCCAGGCGCACACGTTGAGTTAGCGCGCTAATCGTATCATTTGAGACAGTTTCAGGGTGTGGGGTCGCCGGTTCGGGGAGTCGTAATTAAATGTTCAGTTGGGAGTCTAATTAAATGTTCAACAAACCGAATACTTGAAGGGAAGTATCACCTTGGGTTATTCGTTTTCAGAGTTTGTTGTTGTCCTTGGATCTATTTCTCTATAATATCCCAACGCCGGGGTCGAGTTTTCTTATTACCACCGCGCCGCACGCCCCCCCCCCGGGCCCCCCCCCCCCGCTTCGGCGAATCGCCCGGGAGGGTGCGCTGGACGCCTTGCGGGAAATGG